ATGTTTGTGTAGATATAAGTGCTTGAAAAGTATCTCCTTTCTAAAAATCCTGTCTTGAAGTTATAATACTGCTGAAAGTTGCAGGAAAATAAAAACCTTGTGAATAAATTTCTATAAAATGACTGAAAATTTGATCGTTCCCACGGCATGTTGAAACATGCCGCTGTAACAACAGTTTGGTTCTTATGAACGCAGCAGAAACGATGGCTGGACAAATTTATTGCCTGTTTTATTACTTTTTATTCGAGAATTTCATTGTACGTATGCAAATAAAACATTCAAATGCGTCTCGGAATCACAATCTATTGTTTCAAGATCGCCTAAATAAATGGCAACTCCGTTCAGGGGCTATGTTGAACGATCTCGTCGTAATGCAATATTGATTTAAAGAATTCACTCCAGGCCGGAGTACGGAGACAAAAAACAACAACTCGTGTAATGCATTATCGCTATGTTTTAGCGTTGGTTAATATTATTTTTAGCGAACAAACGAAAAACGAACAAGAAATACTCCACATTGTTTTGATGCCAAGCTTTTAAAACTCTACCGCTGACTGCCATTCCCAAGAATTACTTATGACGCTTTAGGGTACTCGACTTGCACCGCCGACTTTATCATTTGTTATTGGAAATTGTTCAAATCCGAGAAAACTTGGCATTACTCCTTTCAATCAAAACAAAAACTTTGATGAAGTTGGGAGTCTGTTGACCTCGCGAATCAGGCGTCAAAAATTTAATTCATTAACAAAATCATGGATTTTCCGTGGCATCACATTTAATTTCGCAATGCACGCCATCCGAGTCTGACTAGTCAATAAACCAGAATCACTTAATAAATGACATGTTTTGGCAATATTGTGAAAGCCAAAGTCAATTGGAGCTTTTATCATAGGCGAGCAAATCAGTATTCCATATGGCGGCCCTAATAAAATGTAGCTATCAACAATGGCTGGTTATTTTTCGGGCTGTTTTGGGTTGAGAAGAGAGTAAATGGTGTGTGTTATCCATCCAGTTTACTGCGTGGGGATTATAAAGCGTTCTACTATGTATGAGTTCAACTGTGCTTATAAATATTGAGGCTAAATGAATGCTACGGAAATAGATATTCTAAATGCACTGACTGAATACATTAAATCGCTTCGATGTTAATGAGCAACTTTTATTTAATGCCCAGTTTAAGTCACTGCCTGTTCTTTAAATACTAATTATATTTTTACATCGGTAATGATTCTTTCACTAAGTGCGTTTACATTGTGCAACAACGGTAAATAGAACACATGCACATTATTTTTACTGCATAGCATTCCTCAAATATGCAGACTACTCTTTCGTTATAACATTGAGTAATGCGATGAAAAAATTTAGTAATCCCTTATTGTCAATAAACATAAGTTACAAAAATATAATTGGCCAATATTTGAGTTTGTCCCTCTTTATTCATCATTCTGTTGATTCTCTAGCAATTATCCAAAGGCGAAATGTCCTGTTATAAGTTTCTCAATATTCCCTGATTTTGTTTGTTGTTGTTTGTGTGTTTACCAATGTGTACTTTATTATGTTGTGTCTAGCTCTTCTTGTGTTATTATGTGTTAATTTATGTTCTATCCTTTATTCTCCACCAACAATGCCTATCGTCTATTATTCTGGAGACGCATCAATTTAATCCCGGTTATCTGAAGTCGTTCTTCGTATTTTTTCTTGTTACCAAAATTTTTGTATTATCCATGAATACTACCAAGATTTATTTACAATACCTGTATGACGATAATTTATAAATTATATTGTTATACGTTATTATATTCCTAATTCATTATCTACTGTTCCCTCAAACATCAAATTCTAGCCACAAGTGTTAACCGCATAGTAACTAATGAACGGGATTTTGTCTTTGACTTTAATTAGTAATAAAATCTGTAACCACTTTGTAATGAAACGGAGAGCTGTTCGAGAAAGAGCAATGTTCTACTCTAACATAATACAGTGTGACTTATATAAAACTACGAGCCTGGAATACTACCACTAGTACATACCAGGTGAATAAAAAGTATGGAACCAAACGTTTTTTGCTTAAACTATTTATTTTTTGAAAAAAGTATTGATGAGTGATAAAGTACTATAAAAATGTGATGATTTAACAAGAATAAAATTTTTCGAAATTTCCTTTTGTTTTTGAGTTCTACAAAAAAAATATTTTTTTAAATTTCAACCCAATATAAAATCATTTTTCTCATAAAAGCTTTACTCTAAGGATTACAACTATCTGCTTAAAAAAATTTTTTCACATAAATTGCAATTTTGACAAAAAAATCGCATAACTCAAAAACAAAACAAAATTTTGTTCTGAAAATACGATCACATTTTTTATATTACTTTAATTTATATTAATTATTATTTTCTGGAAGCAAATGATTAAAAATAACAACGCTTGGTTCCATGCTTGATATTCACCCTGTATATTAATATCTTATAAAAAATATTGCAATATTCAACTCGTTATAAAGTAAAATCCCTAGAGAAAAACATTGGCAAACACTTCTCATTACGCCAAGAATGTCAAAAAATATGATCAAATAAAAACTAACTTTTGAATCAAGTATTTTGCGATTGTATTTCGTGGTTGAAGTAATAAACAAAGTTAGACGTATAAAAATAAAAAAATTTCAACAACAGTTTTTAAAAAACCAAAGGAAAATATTGCTTTTTTTAATTATAGTTATTTGTATTACAAGGAAAGAAAGTGTACCTTTTCCTCCCACAAGTAGACAAGTTTTAGTCAGTAACCATTAAGAAAGAAAAAAACACTTTCCTCCAGTGTAACACACATAATTTTTCCTATGACCCAGCAAGAAAAACTTTTAAACTAACAATTTCTCTCGATATCCAAGTATCGCCATTAAATCTAGCAACATGTAAAGAAACGTAAATTTTTATCTCTATGAAAGGTAATTGGCCCCCTTTCCTTTATGAAATTAGGGTGAAAAAAATATTTTTTTATGAATCGCATAAAAAAATTCACTAACATAAGCATGTCAAAAATAAATCAAAAAATTGTCGGTACTGTTTTCTAATAAAAAATTAAATGGCCAAAGATAGAGATTTTTTTATCTTATTTTTAAACGACACTAAATTTTTTAATTAATACAAATTGTTGCTAAAACCATCAAAAAGTTGTGATATTCTTTTCATAATTTTTGAACAACTAGCATTTTTTATTAAGTGTAGTTCAACCTTAACCTTTTCTAAAAATAAAATAAAAATATCTATTCTTGGTGCTGTTTACAAAAAAAGTAGATCACTTCTAGATGCAAAATTTTTTATACAAAAGTGGCAAAATACATAAATTAGCTATAAAGAATGTTTATTAATAAAAATTAAGCATAGTTTTGTGTAATGCTCCATGCTTAAATTTGTCTGGTAAAATAATGTGGATAACTTTAGTAATGTTATAACTAGTTTTGTGTTAAATCAATAAAAGAAAAAAATACCTACCCTCATATTCCTGCTCATCATATTCTCCTTAAAATTTTGGATAATACTCGTGTTACAACATGTGACGTTAAATGCAAGGAATTATAATGCAGGAAAAAATCCTGCAACAGTTTATGCGTTAGATTTCTCTGTCTCTCGTCAACTTCACTCAACATAAACGTGGGGGACAACCCCTTAGAGTGTATCAGATACAGCGTTCTGGGAATTGACGCCATACATATTATTGTAGTTACCAAACACTATAAATGGTATTTTAATAATACAATTTAGTTCGCGATGTGTATATATAATTTTGCGAGTTTTAATGTTGATTAAAATCGATCAAGCTGTAGGGTGGAAGAAAATCAGTCTTGTTATGAAATAATCGGCGCGTGTCTGGTAATTGTCCGGAATGAAAAGCATAATCGGGGTGGTATTGGCCTAGCGTGACATCTGTCAATATGGTTGTTTAACGTCAAGTTTTCGTTTCCCGTCACGCCATCCTGTGGATATCAATAAGTAAACAGAGTGTTATGATTACATGTCTGCATGCTTTACACTGCAACAGCAATTTGATTTGGAATCACTCCATAAACGCGAAACTTTTCCAATTTTATCCGACTATCAATTTGTGATTGCATCAATTCATTCGTGGCGTTGTTATTCAAAAATTTCAAATCAAAACGTCATGATAATAGCTACGAATCATGCATATTTCACCGCATTCACGCTAATTGATTTTGTAAACAGTCTATTAAATTTATTTTCGGGTAGTAAATATGGTAAACTCTTGTTCCCTTCAACTTTATTGATATGGCACCGTGCTACATGCAGAGCTTTAATATTGGAAAATAAAACGATTTTATAGAACTTTTGAATTTAAATGTCCTCCAAGTTTCACGAGTTATTATTTCCAAGATTGAAAAACTTTGACAGTTTTGGAATTTTTAGAACGCATTGGGAATAAGTTTCAATGAGATATTATATGGATTGATGTGGTAAGTTTGACTCCTCAGTTTTGAAACTTTTTGCAGTAGAAGAAAGATCAATAAATCAAAAGCCGGTGGAGACATTGTATTCAGCATAATCTTTACATTTTTAACGGAAGAATATTAATGATTGATAATGGGCTTCATTAGAGATAAGAATAATGGACAAGGATTATTCAGGGAATTGTTGAGACTCAGTTGCAACGTAACACTGAAATTATCCCTGCTCGTGTTGATATAGGGGTAGATTTCCCTTCACTGTCTCCGGCAATGTCATTTGACCTTCTGTCACTTTATCTGGGCCGTCAGGCACAAAATTGATATAATGCTTAATTCATGTCATTTGCTTTATGCCTGCTACGCTGCTTATGTTTATGTATAAGCAGAGCCATTATCTATGCATAATTGACTATTAGGGAACCCGACAGGAATCATGTCCATTCATTTAAAATTTAGTTAATGGCACGGATGATTGTTTTATTAAAAGAATTTCGAGGGTCGAATTATTAATGAATTGGATGGTGAAGAATAAAAAAGGCAACGTTCGGTAAGAAATCTAAAAGCGAGTTTTATTTGTCGATGTCTTCATTAATTATGAAGTGATCCACTTTATGGGAAATGGAAAAACATAAAACAAGTTTCCGGACAAATATAATTTAGGTCGGAAGATTTATAACTGGCGAGTTTTACAATCGACGTTAACATTTAACGAGGCTATACCGTAGGGGAAATCTCATTGTGATGGGCTTTGGATGCATAATTCAGATCATCTCTTCCTGAGAGAGCCCCGCCTGAGCAAAAGAATCACTAAGCAGAGAAAAATCAAATTCCCAATACCACCGAGGGACTCCCTCAGTTAGAAATGAAGAAATGCCCGCTGAGTTATGGATTCCGGCTGTCCATTTCGGAATGTCATGTTTTATCGGTGCGGTTTCTTTCAGTTTGACAGGAATGGCGCCGGTTATTGGATGCCGACGTCGACCAATACTGGGCGCTTGGAGAACATCATATAAATTCCGGGATGAGGGGTTCCGGTGGTCCTGCAGCTCCGGAACACTCGTCAATATTCCGGGCCGCGGGGAAAGACGCCGATGCTGTCCAAAGTGGACAGTCCATTTCTCTGCGCGGCCGTTCTGCGCTCTGCGGGCTACAAATCATCCAAGCTTGACCCTTCGAAGGCACCCGGATGACACTCGCCGAACTTTACCCAGCGCCTCCACCAAAATTGCTCTACACACAACAAAAAACACCTTTAAAACAACGCCGATAACAAAATTCATCCTACATTTTATTTTAATTAGTTGATTTGGGTGACTATAGTTGCATTTCTTTGCCTAATTGTGTATTAACTTATTATTAATTAAAAAATTAAAACACCAAATTAAAAAAAATACTTCTAGGCAACATCTAGGCAAAAAATAAAAACACATTAAATTTAAAATAACAAGTGAACAAAAAAAAACAAAACAGTGCAGTATTTTTTTATTAACAAAAAATAAATAATTATACAATGTAATTTTAATAAAAGAGATGCCCAAAAATTTCGTTCTTGTATCGTAATAAGTTTATAAAAATGACCTGTTCAATTGTATTTGGCAAAAGTTCACCACTGACATAAAATCTAATACATGAAAATGTGTTATTAGACTCAAAAAAATATATAAAACAAATAAATTGTATATTAGAAAATTGATTATTATTAATATTGTATTTAATCCGCAAGCGGCACCGCTGTTATGACTAAATGTCACAAATAAAAGTTTTATCTTTTAGCCATGGAATAAAAATTCTGCGTTTTTACTTTTACTATGACATTTACCAATGTTGTCTCTTTCTTGTCTCTTTTGCGGTTTCAGTAATTTCTGGGAAGGTACATTATAGATCACCAGCATTCGACGTTTTACACTACTAACTGCACTAGTCATGTACTAATTAAATTAATAAACATTTGAGAATCTCAACACAAATTTCAATACTGACGCGTAATGCTTGTTTATAAGTGTTGTTAAGATTTCATTACGTGCAAGAATCCTGATTATTTTGTACATTTACTTGCTAATTACAGTGTTATTCTTTACGCTCGGTCTAAATAAGTTGGCGCATAAAGTATGTAATATATGTTATTCGGAGTTAAAGTCAGTTTATGTGGCTCAGAAGTTATTTGCCTCACTACGTTCAGCTTTGCCACATAAAATATTGCTTTTACTCACAATAAAATAATACCTACTATACTACTCAAAAAAAAAATTTGAAAAAAAAATCAAAAAAGTGTTTTAGATTTTTTCAAATTTGTAAAAAAACTTCAAGAAACAATACTAATTAATTTTTGAAAAAAAAATCAAAAATTTTTTTTGAATTTTTTTTTAAATTTAACTAATGCAAAATTGTTAAAGGGAGTTGAAAAAAAATGTTTTTCTCATCTTGACGAAGATTAGACCATTTTCAGAAGCAATATGTGCAATTGTTTCTTTAATTCTTTTGCAAAACTTTGATCAATCGGTTTACAAAATCGGTTTGATTAGATAAAATAAAAATTAACAGGGCTGTGGGGGATACTTTAGGCTGTAAAAACACCTAAAAACATTAGTTTCCCCATCAATATTAGTGAATACGCGGTAGATTTTCTAAAACAACGCAAAAACTTACTTTTTTCTCTTTTCTTTAAATCAATGGTTAAGATCAAAAATTTTTTTCCCAAAAAATCATAAAAGGATCTTATTAGGCATTTATTTCAGTTTTTGACACTACGTTTATATTCTCCGTGTGGTCATTGGTTGCTGAGATATCGATGATCAAAGACAAGAGGATCCTTTTTCATTTAAAGTCAGATATCACAGCGACAAATTAACATAAAAAGAATATAAAAAAAGCATATTAAAAGTGAACAAACATGCTATCCGCTCTATTCATTGATTTAATTAAAGAAAAATTCCCCACGTCTATGAACCAAAAACAAAAACATAAAAATCTAGAATTTTTTTTTCGCGCTATTACTTAGAATTGCGTGATAACTGTAGCACAAAAAAATATTTCCAAAAGTTCTCAAAACTAATAATAATAATAATAATAATAATAATAATAATAATAAAGGTAAATAAATTAAAGTAATACAAAGATGCAGAGGCAAAGTCTAGCTTAAAGCTATTCAACTTAACCTCAAAAGAAAATTGATAGAAAAAAAAAACAATTATAACATAAAAATAATTATTATAAACAATATAAAATTTAAATAAAAATAAATTAGGAAGTTACTTAATAACTAAAAGTAAAGAAAGAAATCATTGCCAGTCGCTCAAAAGCAAAAAGAAAAAACAAGAAAGAATTCTTTAAGAAGAAATAAAGAAAAAAAAACAAAAATTATCTAAAAGTTATCCAACTTAGTTGAACAAAGTTAATTATTCAAAAGCAAGTTCTTAATTTGAGTCTTAAACGTAAACACTGAATTTCCAGAATTAAAGATTTCGATGTATTTGTTATATGTTCTAATTACGTTATAAGTGAATGATCTAGAACAGGGCCGTAACCAGGATTTTATTTCGGGGGGGGGGGGGAGGTTTCTGGTTGGTCCATGGAAATGAAATTAAAGAAGACGCATTAAAAAGCAAAAATCTCTAAGTACACGTTTTTATTTTAAATTGAAATAAGAGATCCTAATTAAACATAAAAAAATACAAATTAACTCACAAAAGTAACAAAAAATAAAAT